TCCTCTAACTCACAACTGATCTCAGATGCTACAGCTAATTGACATTGCCTTTGTAGTTAGGCAAGCAACTGCTGAAATCATGTATAAATGGAAAGAACTATACACCCTGCAAAATAAGAGATTATCTCGGAGGCAGTTCAAAAAAATCACACATCTTTTTTTATAGCTAAGTCATAAAGAGGCATCCAAGTCAAAAGCAAAAATTACAGTGTCATTTAATGAAACCACTAGAAGCATCAAAGGAAGGGAAAATGGGACTGGGTGGAGGGCAATTACAAATTCATAAAAGTGGGAAGGGCCAGGGTGGAGAGAGCAGTGAGCATGCGCTGAAGATACAGCGGTGAGGATCTGATGGGATTTGGGGCGAAGACGAGCGCCTAGGTAAAGGAGCGGTGGGACAAGACTCCAAGCCCCTGTGTGCTTAAGAGCCGTTCTCGCCATCGGCACTGCCTCCAGCAGCCTTTCCTCCTTGACCTCGTTTCCACTGTCCTTGGTCAACTCCAGCTACTTGTCCCCCATTGCCATTGGCGCCACCAGGAGAGCCCCTTCCTTAGCTGCACCCCAGCCTACTCTTTACATCAGTCTCACCTTCCGTCAGGGAGCTTCTGCCCTGTTCTTTGTTGACTTATTTTCTCCCTGTTTGTTCTGTTCCTTTTCATTTTCCCCCAGGCTTTTCGGTATGGAATCCACGCTTTGTTTTATCTCAGTCAGTTCCTACCCAATGCCCGGAAGGTCACCTCCTTTCAACTTTCCAGACTTGGAAGATCTCCCCTGAAGATGTTCCAAGATCTCTTAGAATTAGAGTCACCTTTGCCCCTTTGTGAGGTGTTTCCCTGTACATGATGCTGTTTGGAGGGCACTACAGTCCGCGCAGTAAGAGGAGGAGGAACATGCTTGGCAATGGTACATCCTGTCTTGATCCCCCTAAAAGTTGTGGTCCAGGTCAGAGGAGAAGCGCAGCACAGTGATGGGGAAGGAGGTTCTGGGGCTGACCTGCACCTCTCTGCTGCAGTCCTTTCACGCCTGCTTTTCCTCACCTCTGGCTCTGCAGTGAGATTTGCATCTGAAACCTAGCCAGCAATCATTCCACCATCCAGCCCTGGAAGCCCACAGCAGCTCTGGCATTTCGCTCATGAATTTACCAGATGGAGGCAAAGCCCCTAGAAACAGAGCAGCCTAGGTTCACCTCAGTGTCAGATGTCTTGCCCACAGGAGCATTGAGAATGCACAGAAGTTCACAGAGCGAGGAACAGTCTTGGTAACCTTGCTCAGCCTTGCGTTTGATGACGAGACACCTCATAAAGCCAAAAAGCAGGAGCAGGAGGGAGAGATTTGACTCCCAGGTTTGGGGCAGAAAAGCCAACAGCTGCTCAAGGTCAGCCGCAAGGCCACAAGGGCTCCATCTCCATCTCTTCACAAAATGGCATTTTTCTTTAATCATAAAGGGATTTTGAATTTTAAATGATGCATTTTCTGCATTATTTGGATGATCATGTATTTCATCTCAAATTGGGTAATGCAATATAATATTTATGCACATTTAGATAATATAAGTAAATCATAGAACTGTTGCCATATATTTCTCAAAACCTATTGTTTTCTGTCCCAAACTTTTGTATAATAGTGACGCCCCCAAATGGAGATTTCAGTATGACAGCATGCGAAATGTAATGGGTAAATCGGTCATATTTGTCCTGAGTTTAATATAGTTTCTTTACTAACGTCAAAACAATATTGCATTTCAAGGATAAACCCAAGTTAGTTGTTCCTTGTTCCTCATATTTGCAACTCTGCTCATGGCTGAGCACGAAGTACACTCCCCTCTCTCGTGCTGGTTTTCCAGGTGTGAGGGTCATTGTCACAGAGGCTTCTCAGGATGGGTTGGAGAGTAGATTTTTTTTAATTCCAGAAAAAGACTGCGTACATTTAGGATACTCTTTTGAAAGTTAAGTACATTGCTATAAAACCTCCAGGACTTGGTATTTTCTGCCTGGGAAGACTTTTATCTTCTAATTAAATGATTTCAAAGTTGTAGGGATTTTATTTTAATGTTTTGATAAATTATATTTTTCTAGGACTCTGCTTCCTTGACCTATGTCTTGCTGGTCATGTTACATTTATAGCAAATAGGTCTCCATGAAGCTTTTTTTTTTTTACATAAAAATCCAACTTTGTTGAACATAGGAATAGATGGATTTTCAAATTAATTATTTTTGCTTTATAGTTATTAGTATCTGATCCATGGTAGTACTAACTGCTACTATTTGAAGATGCTTGTCTATTCTTAATTCTATATTCATAAACAAATATATTTAAATCTAGAGAGAAACATTTGTGATTGGCTTATTAGTGCATGGTAATCCCTGGTATATGCACTGCTCAAGCTGGTAATAAGGGATCATCCATTCTACTGCAAATTTGAAGCACAGGCACAAATTTGAAATTTATACAAAAATTCACTTTTACTCTTATTCTTACATTAAGTGGGAGCTGACATCTGTAACTTACAGGCAGGCAAATACTTTTGTTTTCTACCTCCTAGCTGAACAAAAACACACATAATGTTTTTAGACAAGACTTAGTTTTTGGGGGTTTTTTTGTACCAGGGATCGAACTCAGGTCCTTGTGCTTGCAAGGCAGGCAGTGGAAACACTGAGCTAAATCCCCGGCCCTAAGACTTGGTTTTTGTATTTTAATGAGAATAACATATAACCCTTCCTTAAACAAAATGACCAGGGTATAATGAAACCATCTCTGGAGGAAATGTTTAATATGCGTATCTTATTTAAATAAATCCCCCAATAAGAAATGGAGAATTCATTGCCTTTACTTTGAAGGCTTTATAGTTATCTGCCAAATTTATATGTGCAGCTCACCACCATTCCCTTATTGGAAATAGCAGTATTTCCACATAATAGTTCTCAAAAGGACTTAAAAGTCTCAAAATTCTGTGTCTCCTTTGGCTTGCTTCTCTCTTGATTCCACCCAGGCTTTATTAATGGTTCGCTTCATATCATCATCTCCATCTTCATAAATTTTCTTTAGAACATTCACTAGGATCTGTTTCAGCATCATAGGATGGCTTTTCTTTTTCTTTGCATTCTTTTTCAACCTGAGTCAAGTATTCCCATCACGTGTTTTCTGCTTTCTTTCTACATAAGATAAGAACTGTATCAGTCTTGATTTTTTTGAACTGCCTTCCACTGAGATGGGTTTTAAGAAATTGTTCACAATCATAGATTAACTCTTCCCATTTAGATTCTTTACCAAAAGATCAAATGACCTCTCTGTGAAATGCACCTGCACATTCTCAGCAGGAACTTGATGAACTCCAGTTAAGGTAATGTAGATTTTCACAAACTTATCTGAATGATCTCATCCATAATTACTGATTTTTACAGTATATCCTGTTGTGATGGGAGCAACCACAGCAGCTGGTTTTTCATTGTCAAGAAATTCTGGTTTCTTTTGTGATTTTTGTTGCACCTTATTCTTTATTTCTGTTTCAATCTTGGATTTTTCAGCTGTCAGGGCATCCTGTACTCTCTTCCTAGTGGCCTTTTCCAACAGCACCTTTACCTCTTCTAGATCATTCTGGAACTCCTCCAAAGCTGAAGCCATGGCCGGGCTGGGTCAGGCTGGAGGCCAGAGCAGCAGGTGTGCAAGCAAGGGACCATGAAGCTTTTTTAATGTGTATGTAAAAGCTTTGACGTAGGAGCATTCTGGGCTCCTTACCATATTTTCATCATTTGCAGGTAACATCTGTTCATATTCTGGTCAGCCAGGCAGCTGATCAACTTTCATTCAGCTGAGAGCCCCAACTAGTTTTTCTAGAGAAATTTTCAATAAGAATATGTGAGATATTCCTTAGCAGCTCCCACCTCACCTGGTGTACTCAGTGTACAGTGAACACAATTGACAGTTTCAGGATTTAGCGCCACAAAAAAACCCCACTGTTATTTTGAATTTTGGGTTTTATGTCTTAGATCAAGAATGGTCCCCCATAGGGCCGGTGATTTAGCTCAGTGGTTCCAGTGCCTACCTTTCAAGCACAAGGTCCCGAGTTCAATCCCCAGTACTCAAAAAAAAAAAAAAAGCCCCCAAAGCTCCCTGAGACCAGTGGCAGGGCCTCTGGGGGAGATTGGGTCATGAGAATGATGCTGCACCTAAATGCGATGTTAGGATCTGGGCTGGGAGGGAAGGGGCAGGTCACAGGGGTCGTGACCCGGAAGGATACAGCTCTCTTCCTGTCTGGTCCCTGCACTCTCTGTCATGATGTGAGGAGCTTTCCTCTGCCACTCCTTCCACCATGATATTTCTGCCTTAGAGCCAGCAGATCATGAGCTAAAAACAAGAGCCCACATAAACCTCTCAGGGATTGTGTTCCAGTGAGGAGGAAAGTGACTAAGACAGGCATGGTTCTGAAGCTATAATACAAACAACAGCAATATCAAAACTATAATTTTATAATCTTTTTATCTCTTGACAGTTTTTCTTCTAAAATTTAAATGCATAGAAATAATCAATATTCCTAGCTGGGCATGGTGGCACACTCCTGTAAGTCCAATCCTCAGGAAGCTGAGGCAGGAGGATTGCCTCAAGTTCGAGGCCAGCCTGGGCTACATATTGAGTTCAAGACCAGTGTGAACTACAAAGGGAGTCCCTGTCTTAAAAAACAAACAAAAAACCAAAAAAACAAAAGAAATAATCAGTACTCCTGCTAAGTGTCAACCTTCTGGATAATATAAGTTTCCAGGTAAATAAGTAATGAAGATTTATAGTTACTTTTGGTTCTTCAGGAGCACAGGTTGTAATTCCACGGTAAGTAACTCTTCAGGGTGCTTTCACTGAAGCCTGTCCCTTGGTAACCACATTCAAGGCCAAGTGTGCTCCCTCGTGGCGATGTTCATCATTAGTAAGGTGAAACGCCGGCCTGCAGTTCAAGTTTTCATGAGTATCACACTGCCATTTGCAACATGAAAATCATTGCTCTTTTGCAGGAAGAATCTGTTTGTTTAGATTCTGTGGTAGAAGAACACATTAACTGGTTCCAGCAAGAGTATGTGAAGGCCGAAAAGAACTGGGGAGAAGTTGATAAAAGGATGAGCCAGACCCTGGAAATAAGAAGAAGGATGATTGGCAGCAGAATGCCTCGGAGGGACATTCTTAAAATGTTTCCGTTCTTGAAGTGCCCTTATCAGGTATCTTGATTCACTTACAGCTCTGCTCCTAGTGTCAAACCAATTGTCCTCTCTTTCCTCTTGGAACACCAACCGGGCCACGTTGCAGGAGAGTGGGTGTGGCTCTCTGCAGGGGCGGGCAAGACCTCTGGATAAGAATTTCCGGAAGCTCATTCAGATGACAGGCGTTGGCTGCCTCCAGCAGTTTCCTGTCTTGGACATCTTGTGGGCATTTTGACAGTGCGAGTCATTTCTCCTGGCACGCTTTTAGACAGTCAAGACAGTTGATTAAGGAGCTCTGAGGATGCAGTGTCACTCGAAATCTATTTTTTATGATCTCAAATCATTTTATAAAGTGATCTTTAAAATCTTTGAAGTCTAGCGGGTAAATCAAATATCATTCCACCGAGTTTACTTAAGGGGCCAAAGGCCTAATCACCACATTGCTGTGATTTTAGTAGGGATATATAATGAAAGATTCATTTCTTTTTATCTGAGATCACATTTCATGGAAGAGTTCTGTGAGTTCAGTCGACCACATTGAAAAATGAAACTTTTCTCAATCCCCAGCACCTAAAAGAATTTTTCTTTTCTTTTAAAAAAAAAAATCTGAAATAAGAATTTGCCTGTAAGCATTATTTTAATATAAATAGCAAAATCTAAGTGCTTACTATGCAGCAGGCACATTCTCAGGGCTTTACTTGGGCTAATTCAGCTAATTGGCTCAGCAACCCTACTTTGACTTTTGCTTGTTTTTTCCTAATCTTTGAGTTGCTAGGAACAGTAACAGCCAATAGCCTCTGTCTGTTGATATAGAATGAATGCCAGGCCGACACACCTGCAGAAGGTAGTAGGAAAGCAAAAATCTGCCAGGCTGAGGGTAGATTTTTTTAAACATAGGACTTTTGGAGCTGAGTAAGGCAGCTGGTGGCTGGGATGGCTGCTGCAGCTCAGGGGATCCTGACTCGGGGGGACCTTGAAGGTTTAGGACTGAGGAGGGACCATGGCTACGTAGCCTTGTGGAACCACAGGTGACTGGAAGTCTGTGGTCCATCATGGCCCGAGTGAGGACCAGAGACTTCAGATCTAGGGCTTTATCGCATCTCCCACTGTGGCCTATGTAGGACTTTCCCCCCTTCCCTCAGGATTTTCACTTTTTTTTTGGGTAACAGAGATCAAACTCGGGTCCTTATGCTTTCGAGGCAGGGGGTGGAACCACTGAGCTAAATCCCCGACCCAGGATTTTCACTTTGTATGGATTTTTTATGGATTGGAGTAGGATTTTTGAAATGACTGTACTTACAGGGTGGAATTTTCAGTAGTTTTAAACACAAGAATTAAACATTCTCAGTTTCTCTGTGAAGCACCTCCCTAACCCAGCCTGGTGGAGCTGAAATTTACAGCTTCCAAAGCCCTGTTTTGCTTCCTAAAATTAAAGGAAATTTGGCCTTACTTTTATTTACTTATTTATTAATTACTTTTGTTTGAATTTTGAGAGGTCTGCTAAGTTGCTAAACTGCCCAGGCTGGGCTTCCAGTTGCAATCTTCCTGCCTCAGCCTGTCAGACTGCTGAGATTATAGGTGTGCTTCACCACACCTGACTTGATCTGCCTTATAAACACCTCCAACAAATAATCCCTTTTAGAGGTAGGTTGCCCCACTGCAAGTCACCCCTACCGCTTTTTGCTCCTGCCACTGTGGATGTTTTCTGCCTTGGGACCTGTGGGTGTAGGTGCTGAGGAAGAAAAGCAGCCGTTGGCAGAAGTGGTTCTGGCCTGAACACCCATCCTTGGTCACATCTTGTACTCATGGACCTTCTCCACTGGGAACACTTCCTTTCAACAGAAAATGAGAAAATTAAAAGATCACTGGGCGACCTTGTAGTCTCCACTCAGCCACTTAGAAGGCTGAGGCAGGAAGATCATTTGAGGCCAGGAGTTCAGGAACAAGGCCAGAGCAACACAGTAAGCTCCCATCTCACCACCCATGCAACAACAAAACAAAACAAAACAAAACAGAAGCCCAAATAAAAAAAGAACAGAAACAACAACAAAAAAACTTAAGCAAAGTACATAAGAATAAAGCTAATAAAGTCTTTACGACTTTTTAAAAGAAACTGAATTTGCTTTGGGTTGGATGAAATAACCACTTAGCCTGGGCGCATCTTCCCATTGCTCACAGGGGTACAGCTGTGGGGATGGAGGGGCACCTGCTTCCTGGCATTCTCCGACCAGGAGCTGGACTGCACAGGTGGAGACTGCATGACCCCTAAATGTAGGAGGGTGCTGTAGTCAGAGCTGTCGTCGGAGGTCACACTGTCACCGGGTGTTGTGGAGACCACTTGGTCCTTCCAGGCTCTTCCTGTCCCCTTCAAGGGACTGGGCGGAACCATCAATCAAGGAGATGAAAGTTTAACATTTATCTAAGACAAAAGGAAAGAGGAAGCACAAAAGGAGAGGTTCTCTGGAAAGGAGTGCTGTGCAGAGGAGTGTGGGCCATTACAGCAGGTGAAGAAGCAAATCCTGCAGGGCTCCATAGGGCGGGAGCCATGCCACAGTCTTTTATACCCTCTTCTGGCCTCAGATCCAGGCATCCTTCGAAAACCCACTTGAGCGGTTGATAGAAGATTGATATCAGGCTCAGGGCTCGGCTTCATCCCATGAAAACCCAGTGCCAGAAGAACTGAAGACCACACTTCCTGATTGGTCAGCTCGCTGTCCTATCATTCTCTGAACTTGACAGGCCACGCCCACTTGTCCCAGCCACTTTGCCTTGCCTTAATTTCCTGCCTCCACACAGCAGTGACAAGTAATCCTGGCCCAGAGTGGAGACCTCCCAGAGCACCTCAGTCATATGTTTGATATTCTGAAGTCCATGCCTTTGAGTGAGACCCATGTCCTAAGCTTGATTTTGCTCATTGACTAAGGGCAAAACCCAAATAATCCTGCCTGAACATGATAAAATCGACTCTGAAAGGACCAGAAAGAACAACCAGACATCTGACTGCCACGCAGATCAAAAAGTAAGATCCTTTAAGGGGCACAACTGCAATGGCGTCACTCTGGTGTCTACCCCGTGACTCCTGGACCTGTGAGTGCTGCCTGTGGAGACAGCACCTCAGAGTTTATGCAGCCTAGGAGAGCCTTGTTCCAGCCCTGCAAGCACTACCACTTAGCCAGTGCTGCAGCTTCATTGTCAGAAAGCCAGTCCACGGTTCTGTGAACCCAGCCAGTTCAGGGTGGTGGCTAGCATGCAGGACCAGTGAACCCTATGCATCATCACTATGGGGAATCTCAGCAGAGAAACTGAATATAGGTGTAAGGAGCCAAGCAGATTTAGAAATGGAAAGGACATTTGTCTGGAATGAAAACATCACTGGATAGGCTTAACAGCAACCTGGAAAAAACAAAGAAAGGGTCTGTGACCCAGAAGATAAATTGATAAAAATTATCCAATCTGAGGAACAGAAAGAATTAAGATTGGTGACCTGTGAGACAAAGCTTGGGTTGCGGAGGAGGAGCCTGTCCTGCAACTGGTCATGCGCAGCTGGGCATGTGGCTACAGGGACCTGGGGACAGTTTGAGCCAATCCATACATAACTGGAGGATGGTGGCAGCCAGGTTCCATACTGCTGAAGGGAGCAGGGGAGAGGAGGGTTAGAAAACACCCGTGGAGTTAGATTGGAATTGAAAGTATCAGTATGAACTCACGGTTTTTAATATTTATTTACACAATTATAGATGTTTGTATGTCTACATGTCTGGAGAGAGAGAGAGTGGCCACTAGATTTCAGAAATGTGCAGGAAACCAAGAAGTTGTCTCAGATGTGGGGGCCTAAATCTTACGTGTGATCCTGGGTTAGCTCCTGGATTGATAAAAATTTGTGTTCAGAGCAACCATTAAACTTGAAGGAGATGTGGCCTGGGGATTAGATTTTCCTGATCTGAGAGTCCTGGTAGTTAGGAAACACAACAATGAAGAATTAGGTCATGAGTGTCACCTCCATGGCTTATTTTCAAGTGCAGCAGGAACTGGGGGGAATTTACATGAAGAGGATCTGTGAACTCTCTTCTTTTTGTAACTGTAAACTTGAAATTATTTTAAAATAAATAGTTTAAAATCCCTAGGTTATGGGGCCATGGAAATAATGTTTTCTACCTTCTTTGTGCTCTGTTTCCCACCTGCCCACTGAGAGCCATTTTCTGAAGCTATTAATCTATATTTGCAGTCCACTGAGAGCTTTCTGCTAACAGAACCACTATACCTTTGACAGAATGTGCAGTCCAGCCTTCTGACAACTTTCAGACGTAATCTCTGGACAGCTTAGGATCTATCCAAAATATCCAGCCTGCTGCAGAGTATGTAGCTGTTCTGTCCAGCTTCAGGGAAAGGAGTGACTAAATTAATTCATACTCCTGTGCAGGACTAATGACTTGAAAATGCCACTCCAGCAAGAGAAGAGGGTGAGGGGTGAAGGGGTGGTGGAATTCTCTGAGTGACAGAAGTGAGGCAGAGGTAGGAAAATGTGGCTTTGAGGAGAGGGACTTCAATAAAGGTAACCTCTGTCTTGGCTTGGTAGTCAAACCTGCATTTACACTGCTTATTTTTTTTTAATCTCTGTCCAATCTTATAATCTTATAATCTTTTTTATTTATTATTTATTTTTTGATACCGGGGATCCAACTTGGCTCCTTGCACTTGCGCAGCAGGCGGCGAAACCACTGAGCTACATCCCCGGCCCCCAATCTTATAATCTTGAAAGGATTCCCCTTTCTCTTTAGGATGCTATGATTACAAGGGCTGCTCCCTAAAATGCAGTTGTTTTTTTATTTTGCCTCTCGATGGACCCTGGCACAACCTACCAAGGGCGTACTTGAAGAAACGTAAGGTCCTAGAATCCTGGCGGGTGACACAATTAGCTAACGCACGCCTATGTACTGTGGAATACCCATTTAGTTGAGTCTGCACCTACAGTTTTAATTCTTAATTGGTTTATTGTTAGTTCATTCCATATAATAGAATGGTTGTTCCTCAAAGTTTTCATTTTATACTTTCAGAATTTTGCCATGTTCATTATTTATCTTTTTCTATTCATTTCAGGCTTTCGTTCTTTTCTCCTTCTTCATCTTGAATCTTTACTCCTCCATTAAAGCTACTAAAATATCCAGTGTGTATTTTAAACTAGCATTCGATACTTAATGTAATTCTAAAGTTATGTACTTGCTCATATTAAAAACAGATGATTTTCTTGTAACCTCATCTATTCCTTTCTTTTATCAGATGTTCAGAGAATTCCAACTTCTTACAAGAACAGATATTTATAAGGAAATGAGGCATATTTTGGAGTCCTATTCAGAAAATATACTGACTGCTTTTCCAGCGGTGGACAGCCCCATCAACACTGCACTGCAAGAAGCAGTGAAGCAGTGCACGGATGAGGGCCTGCTGAAATGTCAGTAGGTGTGCGGGGCAGATGGGGTGAGCGGTCTGCTTAGCTGTGAAATTCAGAATATCTGGAAAAGCACTGCTTCACTAATAAGATTCAGTGAAAGAAAGGATGGAAAGGAAAAAAGAACTTTTCCAGTGGGAGGAGTGGAGCCGTAGATTTAAAAAGCTCACAGAATACTGTAATATTGTATTTGGGGAACGAGCAACCTGCTAATTTTATAGTACAGATCACGAGGTAAAACATGATAAAATTATCCTGGCAGACAGAGTACAGAACTCCTGTCTCTCCTGGCAGTAACCTGGAGGACACACTTGGGGTTTTGAATGTTTTCCTAGATGTTGGTTTAAAAAGGCCGTAAAACTCGCCTCTAAGGCGGCTAGCTGGCCCCCGTGGAAGGTAGCAAAGTGCCATCACCACCACCAAAATCTCGTGTTTTACTATTGGCTTTGCCTAAAATTGCTAAAAACGCCTTCCTACTTGGACGATAAACATGTTCGCTTTGACAGATATGAAGATGACGGCCACATGTTTACTCCTCCCAGATGTCTTTGGGGATGATCCCAGCCTTTTTGCCGTTGTGAATGAGAAGGTAAACAGCGTGTTCATGGCCACTGGTTTGCCATCTTATACAGTCATACGATTTACTTGGAAGGTCAGTGGTAGATTCTGAACTATGCTTTGCCGTATTTGCAAATAAGCCAGTGTCACGAGCTCACTGACTGCAATGTTATTAGTTTCACTCAGGTGTGTTTTAGTACTTAATTATTTTACATGCCAGGGGGTAGTGACTCCATTCTTCTTTTCAGGTCCAAGTGTCCACACCTGTGTTGGAAGTTAAAAACCCTTTTGACGTCCGTGTCTGTGAATTTTCTTTATACTTGGACAAGGAGAAGCTCACAAAGGTGGATGACTGCGTCACGGCCTTGGCAGCTCTAGTGGCTGCCTTTCATATATTTGGGATCAAGTGTCCAAGAAGACTGTCCCAAACCCTCAACTTCTTAGAGACGCTGATCCTCGACACGCACAATCCCCCTTGTCCTTCTTTGAAAGGGAAGGAAAAGGAAGTAGGATTTCAGCCCCCAATCACTTAACAACATGCCAAATGTTAAATCAGAAGTTACCTGTGGGTCAGGTGAAACATGATAAATATCATTCTAATTTAGGGTTGGGATAGAGGTAGGTATTAGCAAATCATCTTGTATCTATCTTTACACTTCCTTCTTTGTGAAATTCTGGAATAAATACTACTTAAGTAAAGAGCTCTTTATTCATTTTGATTTGAGGTCCTAGAAATTCCATGATCAAAGTTACATGTCAGGGGTGCCTTTGTTTTTAAAACACTCTACATTCAGGGCCGGGAATGTAGCTCAGTGGCGCTGCGCCTGCCTTGCAAGCACAAGGTCCTGAGTTTGATCCCTGGTACCAAAAAAAAAGACTATATTCAAGTCCTTTGGATTAGGGTATGGTCTTGCACCTGACTCCAGCGGCCTGAGAGCTGCCTCTTTGTTCTGAACACTGCTTGGAAACTGTTGAGCCTAAGCATTTTACTAAGGGGCACATGCCCTCAGCTAGCCTCACCCCAAGTGGCTGGCCCATCTCCAGGTGTCTAGCTTCCCATAGTCACTTACAAGGGCTGTGGGATCCTGGGGTCTCTCGATGCAGGCCCTTCTTGGTGGCACAGGCTCCGCCTTGTGGCCTGTGTGCATCTCCTGGAGCTTCCTTCTCTAAGGACTCAGTGCCCCATGTGCGCACCCACTGCCCACTGCCCAGAGCCCCTCTTGGAACAGAGATGTGTTCAGATCAATGGAGGCACAGTACTTTTAGGGTCTCACTCTTTTGCAAGTATTTCAGAAGGAAAAATTATAAAACTACGGTTTTAAGGTGTCCCTTGATGTTATAATACTGGTTATATACTGGTTCTCGAAGATTTGAAAGTTGGTTTGGGGCACTGAAAAGAGACTGGGTTATTTCATCAAATTAACTAAAAAGTTTAAAGAAGAATATGAATTATCAAAGAGATATTTTTATAATACACATGTCTGGAAATCTTATAAAATATGTATTCTACCACTGACACAATGATGGTCTGCCTTTCTTTCTATAAGGCTTTAGCCAGTGAGATAAAGAGGAAAGCCAGGCTGCCCCTCCCTGCAATAGTTGTTCATTAACCTAACCAGAATGGACAGGCAACAGAAATGAAACTGGTCACATATCAGTTTTGCATAGAACAGTCCCTATCCCATAGTCTCTATGTCTTCCTCTTTACTGGAATATAAATTTACTTCCTTATAAATGTTCCCTTATTTTTCCCAAATTATTCCCTCTCCAATTTTTTTTTTTTTTTTTTTTTTTTTGGTATCGGGGATCGAACTCAGGTCCTGGCACTTTGGAGGCAGGTGGTGGAACCACGGAGCTGAATCCCCCACCCTCCACAATCTGTCTAATCACCATATCCTCAATGCCTTCAACCAGTTCTCAAAGATGCCTTTTCCTTGTCCAAAGTCACTGGGAAGCTGAATGGCAGCCACTCAGGTGGGACAGTGATGGACTCCACGCGGAGCTGTGGAGAAGCTGCAGGGAAGCCTGGCCCCAAACACGACAGATCCGAGCTGACCCTGACAGCAGACTCGTGTCTCTTTTCTTGTTTTCCAATCGTGTATCTATCCCTAGTGCCTGGCATGGTACTGGTGCTTGGTAAATATTCAGTATTACTTGACATTCCCTATTTGCTTTGGGCCTTAGTCCACTGAATCTAGAAGTTGCAAGTGGCAGGCTGTGACAAATATTAACCTGGAGACAGGTTTCACCTGGCTTGTACAGTGGTTTAAACATTTTTTAAAAAGACCTTTTAGATGGAAGGTCCATATTTCCCAGTGCTCCCTTCAGTCCTACCCTAAGCCTGCTTCCTGTATTTCAGAGATATCTCATTATCAGGGCTTCCTATTTTTTTCCCCTTTCCTGAGGTATACAAAACCTTGTGCCACCCGAATATGTTTAGTGCCTTGCCTCTAACTTACAACAACATGCTGTGTGCAATGAATGGGTGTTTACAGTAAGATTTGAGCCCCTTCATGGCAATATACACTTTACACTGGAAAGCAAAAATTCCCCACGTGGATGAACCCAATTTGATCTAACAATACAATCTTTGAAAATCTTGTCTCATCTTCTTGGGACATAGTTTGCTAAACAATAGTAAACCTTAGATGTGTTGGATAGTTATCTTTCTTATTCTATGCCGAGAATCAAACCAGGGCCTCATGCATGGTAGGCAAGGGCTCTACCACTGAGCTACACCTCCAGCTTTATATTATGCTTGAGAAAATGTTCTTCTTTTTATTTTACCTCTCCTATTTTGAGAAGCTTCCTTAAAAATAATACATAGGTAAAAAGGATCTGTAATGAAGATTTTATTTCATTCGTATCAGATATAACAAATGCGACCTGAATGTATGTACAAATTCTGAAAAGTATAAACAGGGGGAAGGGGACAACAAAGAAAACCTTATTTAGCAGACTCATGTAATGAAATGAAGGTGACGCTGCAGATATTGCTGACCCTATTTTACCCTGAATCATGCCAGGTAGAAATAACTACTAACAGACTCCCAGCAGGGCACTAAAGGAAGTCCTATACTGAAAAAAATGAGGGCAGCTAAGTGGTGGGACTCTGCCTAGAATCCAGACAGCATGCTATGAACTTAATTTCTACGTTTAGAAGAGTCCTTAAATAAAGGTCTAATCCCGCAATTAGAAAGTACATCATAAGACTGACAAAATAATTTTTCCCTCAGAAATATATTTTTATAAAAGAAACACTGCTAGCTATCAGTTTCTAGATCATTTAAAGTGCATCTGAATGCTTATGCATCAAGGCAAAGTATGTTAAAGAAAGGATCCCTCTGGAATGGAGGACCTCAAATAACTGCTTTGGGGTTCACTTCTCTCCTCTGAGAGTCCCGAGAACTCTGCGTGTGTTGGTCTTGCTCCCCTGCTCAGTAAAATCAGTGCACTCTCTCTTCAGCCAGCCCTGAAGAAAACCTTTGGGTTTGGGGTACACTGTATGGGTTAGTGTGTCCACCAACACAATGAGCCCTTCATCCCCAAAAAGCACCACAACTACCTCCATGACGATTACAGAAACACTCAAAATACTCCTACGAAGACTTCAAGATCCTTGCAAAGCCCGCACTGCCCCACACAGAACCCCACATTCTCCGATGCCCTCTGACTCCTGTAAACACAGGGCACCACGGCGTGCAACACTGATGCTACTCATACACACTCCCTAGTCCATTTAGGGTGATATATTTTATTTTTCAATTCCATTCTTTTATATACATGTTTTTGGTAATTATAGTAAAGATGCTGGTGAAAAGTAATCTGTTTAACATTTCATCATGCGTGCAAAAGTAAAAACACCGATTCAAAGTAAAGAAGGTTTTACAGCTATTCAGGCCCACCAAATGGTGACGAGCAGGTGGGCAATATGAGGACTTGCGAAGTTACACTCAGCATAATATTGCAATCAGCATATGGCACAAAATGAACAATATGGGTAACAGTCCCACTGGCTAAACCCAGCCAGGTTTTGACTAATTTGGTTTCAGTGGAAATTCAATTATATAAAAAGGTTTCTGAAAGTATTGAAAAAGAAAGTGTACATGAAAGAGAATTCAACAATGTTTACAAAATGCCAAAAGGTCTTACTCTGCCCCCCTTACCATAAATAATTAATGAGGTCCCCTTCCCCCACCCACCAGCCTCAAAAAGATTTACAAAGATAAATTTAGCTCAGTGAACAGAACCAAAAGATGACTGTTTTTCGACAGTACCTGGTTAAAAGCTCAAGCACTTTCTTAAGAATTCATATATATTGTCTTTCAAGGAATATAAATAATCCAATAGTGTTGCTCTTTTGAGTTTTGCAGACTTCTCATTTAAGAGTCCTAATCGTCCTTGTGCTTTGAATAAAACATGGGCTGTAAAGCAGAAAGCTGCTGGCACTCAGAGATCACCACCTTCAGAGTTCATTGTGAGAATTCTTCTCTGCAGCTTTGAACATCAGAATAGAGTTGAAAATTTTGAGAGCAGGGCCCAGCTTAATGCTCATAATTTTAACAATATCCGTTTGGGTCATAAGTAGAAATGCTTCTCCGTCAATTTGCTAAAACAGGGAAGACACAAAAGAATGTGAATTAGCTGGATGTAGTTTGTGGTAAATATCCATGCTCAAATAATCAGTTGACTTCTACATAATGTGATTAAGAAGGTACACGTGGAAGTTCATGAGCGCAACATTTTCCAAATCTACAGAGCGTCTTATCTAAACCAGCACACCCACCTATGGACTGAGGTGGTTTTTAAGACTTGGTCCATGCGCTAATGGAAGGTGCCTGTGTTTCCCGATTACTCTGAATTAGGTGCTGAATCAAGAAGAATATGGAGAAATCTAGGATGTCCCAAATCTACTTCATATCGTGGTAGGTATTTACATTAGAAAAGATAGCAAACACTCAAATGTTTGTTAACATCAGCAAAAGAATACAGGTGAACAATCAGCTACATACTAACAAGTTTTAAAAATTAGCCTTTTACCACCAAAGGAAAAAATAACCAAGAGAGATAATGTTTATGTCCAGCAGAGCCACACTTAGTTCTCCCATTGAGAAGAACAGTAATCCACATCTCACTTGGAAGGATGTGAGACAGTTTTCAGAGCTCAGATTCTTCTACATTATCATGATCTGCAAAGTCATACTCGGGCTTCTCCTATGATAAAACATCTGTGCTTCTAGAGAACAGGATACTTTGAGGTTCAAACACAACACTGTGAAGATGATTTCTGGTTTGGTGAGCTGAGCAGTAACAGAGGTGGCTTTTTTTTTTTGAACAGTAATTAACTTTATTAATATAGGAAAGTAATTTCACTTGAGAACTGGAAAGTGCTAAGGATATAGGTAGAAAACAGTAATTATTTAACTGTCTCAAGACAATAGCTAGAGGTACTAGAAAGTAGTAAGCTAATAATCTGGCATGTAGCCTACCAAGTAACCACACTGAAGAGATTCACAGACGTACAGAGGTGGTTTTTTTTGGGGGGGGGGTGGTTTTATCTTTTAGTTTCTGAAGAGCTCCACTGCCTTGAAACACACTTCCCTGTGGGTTTTCCCACTCTGCACAGAAAGTAAAACATATTTTTGTTTTCTGTCACATTAGAAACTGGTGACAGCAATGTATTATGTTATGGGATCGAAAATCCCCTGAAAATTAATATGTTGTTGTCTAACTCTCACAGTCCCTTAAAATGTGATCTTATTTGTAAATAGGGTCCCTGCATACATAGTCGGTTAAGGTGAGGTCGCAATGGAGTAGGGTGAACCCCTAATTCAAAATGACTGAGGTTCACAGAAAGAAATGGGGAGATTCGGACACAGACACAGAGAGGAAAGGCAAAGAGGACACCATCTACAAGTCGAAGGGAGAGCCCTGAACAGGTTATTTCCTTGCAGTCCTCAGAAGGAAGGAAGCCAGCCCACACTGCGGCCTCTAGCTTTCCTTATATCTCTAGGGTCCAGATCTGTAAGATAATAAATCCCACTGTTTAAGCCACTGACTTGTATTTGTTATGGCAGCCCTAGAAAACTAATAAAACTCTGAATTCTGCAGAGTTCATTAAATAAAGGCTGACAATTGTGTACCTGTTTCTTAAAATCTTTTCTTCTAAAAATTAAAAAGAAAATCCTATCATCTAAATGTCCTACATGGTCTACTTTATTATTAACAACTAGAATTTTACTGAACTTCAAATAATAATTATGTGGGGAAAAGTTGACTAATTTCAGTAAAAACATACTGCTACAGTAAGCTACAACGGAAGGTATTCCCATGTGTACCCCAACCCCAAAGACGGTATGAGGGGATTAGGTTGTTAGAGGCACCGACTGCGGTCTCATTTCCCTGAGCTCTGACAGCCTCTCCTGTCAAAGCGAAACCGGGAGGAACACACGCCCCTTAACACTGCCCCAGCCCAGGCAGACTTCCAGAGTAGGGACAGGCTGAGAGAAGTCTTCTAAGGCCTTCATGAAGACGTCAAACAACACACTGGTTTCCCAAAAGGCAAACTATAGAGACTTACTGATTTATTACAAATGTGGAGCCTGGTGAAGGCTGGCAGCAGCCACTGTGTCTCCCCCTACATCTACGTAAGAGGTCACGTGACAAGTGAGCGACGGCAAGAACATCCAGAAAACTGAGAGGCTGCGATCTGAAGAGTGGGGTGAGGAGGTTACAGTTTGGTCGATTATGATTTATACGGTTATACTAGAAAGAAAAAATCTAGAAGCCAGTGCCAAACTCTGCATATTACATCAAGCTGGTCTGACGTAGGGCCATAGGACAAGCCTCAACAGGAAGGAGATGAACTTAATTTAAGAAAGTGTACATTTGAAGAACCATGATCCCCGCAATGCATTCCTCAGCTTACTTTATGTTTGCTCTTGCAATGCACACACAGTGGCCTAACTCCAGACAGGAAGTGTCTCACTAAAGGCCCAGAAGGAGGAAGAAGGACTTGTAGCTCAGCAGCCCCTCATTCTGTTCCCCTCCTCCTCCTGTGGGCCCAGGTTCTCTTCCAATGGTCTAAGTCACAGTGATGCTCTTTGTCTTTCTCCGAGTACAAACGTATGAATATATTCACTCAATAAAAGCGCAGTAAATGTTCTATTCCAAACACTCCTCATGAGCCTGCGCACGTAGCCATACATACCACAAAAATACGCAAACAGGCAAGCGAGCAGCAACTCTGTGGAGTCCACATTCTGGCAGTGGGAAACAGACTACGACCAGCAACAAGCAAGCAAATTAATTAGTAAGTTGGAAGGTGATTAGTGTTACGAGAAGACAGAGCTGGTCGTGGAGATGAGTGGGCAGTCAGGGTAGACACATGGCTGGCAGCAGATGGCACTTCCAAGTAGGGGTCAGGGCAGGCCTAACTGGAAGATGGGCATCTGAGCAGGGAGTCATCTGATCATCCAGATGGAGGGAAGAGCTGGTGCGGGCTGGACAAGCTGAGGAGAGCAAGGAGGCCACCATGTGCAACTGAAGGGGCAGCGCACACAGGCCAGGAGCCGCGGGTGCTAAGGAGGCATCGGGGCGCAGGCTGTCGGGACTCCGGGTTTTACTCTCAGATGTGAAACTCTGGACAGAGGGGGCACGATCTGATGTCAACTTTAGCAGGACTACTGGGCTGTGCTGGGAGTGGACCGCGCCGCAGTAAGAAGGGAGGGAGAGAGACGGATCAGGAGGCTACTTTGTGAATCCAGGGGGTAAATGGCAGAGGCTCCCACCAACACGGAAGCGACGAAGGTACAGTATCTTTCCGTGTTAAAAACACACTCAGCAGGATGTGCATCATGGAAAACAAAGGTCAAGGATGACTTCCAATAATGGCTGGCTATTATTGGAATATATCTACTTTGCCCTTTTGAGATGACTTATGAAACTTTAAATTTGTAATGATTTACCTGTAGGACTCAAAAACAAAACCCACTGATTGCGATAATCCTAAGCAAGAACTGTGTTTTATGACTTTTAAGCACCCTTCTTATCAAAGCATTTCACAGAATAACATCCACAAGGTTCTGTGATGCGGTCTTATCTTGGAGCCAGTGAACTATAGACTGAAAACATAAGCCAAAATAAACTTCCCTTAAGTTGTGGGTGTTGGGTATTGTGTCCAGTGATGAAAAGTGACTAAGACAGATTTGGTTGCTGTGACCACAGGACCATGTGGTTTTGAAGCCTTTAGAAGTAGTTCAAGCAAGGAGTTGGGGAGGATTTGGAGATGCAGCCCCAGAATACTGTAAGCTGAGCTTAATGAGAGATTCTAGTCAGCACAGAAGACTAGAATGCTAATGAAAATGCAGGTGGTAAAGACTAGGCACAGGAGGTTTCAGTTGTAAACAAGGACTTCATTGGCAGTTGGACTAGAGACTATGTGTGTAATGCTCTGGAAGAAAATTTGTCTGTTTTGCTTATGTCCTGAGATTTTTCAGCAGACTGAGATTAAGCGTGGCAGACCAATTAATCTGGCAGAAGAAATTTCAAGATAGCCCCATGTTCAAGCTGTGGCATGGGTACTGCTTGCTTTTAGCAAGATTTACACTGAGAACAAGTGCAAAGGCCCATTTAAAAAGTATTTGGTTTTAGGGCCAGGGATTTAGCTCAGTGGTTCCAGCACCTGCCTTGCAAGCGCAAGGTCCCGAGTTCGATCCCCGGTACAAAAAAAAAAAAATACCAAAAAAGTATTTGGTTTTGCTAGAAAGGCAGGGCCTGTAAAGTTGAAGCAGAGGAGAGGCTGGTTGTTAAAAAAAATTAGCATGAAAAAGAAGCCAAGTGCTTTATATCAGGATAATAAGAAAGATAAGATCCCTTGAGGCCATGTGAGGAGCTATCAAGACTTTACACTTTGTGGGCTCAAGGGTCCAAAAGTGAAAAACTTTGCTTTGAGAAGAGAACCCCAGGGCACCCTCCTAAAAAGGGGCTGGGTAGGGTTACTGGTTTCCCAGTATTTGGTTCACATCCAGGTACTCAGAGGCCTCTGCAGCTGAGATCCAAGGTGGCCTGGCTACTCAAGCCAGTGATGTGGCCTTATCTACAAGGGGCTGGTTTTAGGCGCACGCAGAATGCAGGAGCTGTGAGGTCAGGAAGGCTCCACCCAGATATCAGAAGGGCTGGGACACCAGGCAGTGTGCCTCTGAGAGGGCGGTGTGTAAAGCTGTGAGAGTGAAGTCAGGAATTTAGAGCTTACAGGAAGGCGGAATGTCTACTGAGAAAGGCCACAGGCAGTGAGCAGAGCTTGCCCAAGACCCACAGGGATGGGGCCGCACAAGGCATCTGGAGTTCACATTACACAACTGGTCCTGGGCGCTGGACACAGAGCCACAGGATTTAATGTTTGCCCTGCTGGGTTTCAGTATCGCTTTGGTCCCATTCCTTTCTGTCCTCCTGTTCTTCCCTTTTGGAATGGGAATGTTTATGCTGTGCCATTGTTTGTTAGAAGTGTTTAACTTTCTTTTTGATTTTTAAATGACATGAATAAAAAAATTATTCAGAGAAAGACCACAGGTGGGTGTAGTGGCACACACCCCTATAATCCTAGTTTGAGCCCACTCTGGGCAACTTAGGCTCTCTCTCAAAAAACCAAAATTAATTAATTAATTAAAAGCTCAGTGAGAAGCCTTTGGGTTCAATCCCCAATATCACACACATGAAAAATACCACATCATTTTGAACTTGAATTTTTATTAAATAGTAAAGCAGATCTTTATGGGTTATGTAGTTGTCCACAGAATAAAACACAGAATTTATGAAATATACTATAAACTTACTTTCAAAACCTATCATTTTTTAAAATAAGGACTCCTCCAAGAAGGAATGACGGTTCCTGCATGGTTCTCAGTCTATTCAGGGACTGAAAATTCACTGAGAGTGGGCTCCACAGACACTCAGGAGTTAAGGAAAGAAGCTCAAACTCTGAATGAATGGCAATGAAAGATCACCTCAAAAAAAAAAATGTGGCATTTCTGGAGTAAAAACACACATCAGAGTAGAGATGTTGAAAGCCAGACCCTTGTGTATTTTAACAGGCATCCATCAACAGCATCAACTGCATCTGAGTGCAATGAGGTGACAACCAGCTGCTGGATCTGCAGCTGCCCCCACGCTCTTGGGATGTTCCTAACTCAAATTGTGCTATTCTTAACAGTTGAGGATCACACTGGGGCACATGAGTGTGCATGTATGTAACTGCAGGCAGCAGATGTTGCAGAGAGCCTTCCAAGGTTACTCAGTCTATTTTCTGCCTCATTGCAGCACTACTCAGAGCCCAAATCAGAGCAATAATGATGGCTCTGCCTGGAGCAGGAGACAGGCAAGGGGCTTATTCCTACAGGTCTCCAGTGGAGCTCCTACTGTCCTCTACTCCCATCACTTCCAGGGTAATTAGAAAGTGCATTCCTTTTTATTCTAATGCTCCGTGTAAGTGATCATTATTAATCATCCCTTATGGTGACGTTTTGAAGAAGCAATGGAAACATTTAATAAAATAATCTTCCAGAAGTGCACTCTGACAAACACCTTGTTATACAAGAGCTGATCAAAACATATGGTAAATTAAAAAAATTTATTACAGTAAAAGACACACCATCACTAATACCCCTCAAAACACTCTCCCTCACTTTGATGCATTGATCTCATGGTTCTCGCCACTCTCTAAAGCAGCTCCAAAAATTCTTTTATGAGTGTCTTTACAAAGTGTGATCAAAAATATGGTGAATGCAATGCTGCTGCTGCATGCCATCTAATGGAAAGGCAGCCTCATAAAACACTGCCATATCTGCATCCACCATATTCACTGGATTGGCACTGTGCAAGTTCTGGCCTTCCACAAAGTCAAAATGACCACGAAAGGTAAAGGTTTTGAATCAATTCAGGACACTGAGGCAGCCACGACAGCACAACTAGAGACACTCCAGAAAGAGGGCTTCCAGAACTGCCTCAGAAAGGAGCAAGTGATGGGATAAGTGTATCTTAAGTGTGTGTATGTGGGGGGTATTTGAAGGGAACTTGTGTCTGCTACTGTAAAAGTAATTACTTTTAAAAGTAATCCTTCACTGTATTTTTTTGATCATAAATCATACATATTACTGAGAAATATATATAAGATCCAAGGAATTGTTTTCAGCAATAAGATTATTTATTATAAGCATCAAAATGAGTTAATTTTGATATTGTTAGATTTTAAAATAGAATATTGGGGATTAATTTTACTTTATTAAAAATGTTTCTTATTTCTTTCTTTGGCTTTTTTCTATGTTATGAACTACCATGCATGTTACTGTATTTTGTGGGGGGTTTTAATAGTGCATCTAGTGATCAGAAAATAACACCTACAAACATCTCCTCTCAAGACACTTTTACAACTGTTTAATGCAATTAGGTGTCAGTTTGTCAACTTCACCCTAGCCCATCCCTGCCTGACTCGGCCAGTTCCACACCTTACCCCACCCACCGCACTTCAGGGCTTTGACCTCAGTAAGTATCACATTGTAATTTAGGGGAACACTTACTTCATCCTTAAATACCTTTCCGTGTTCTTCACAGCCAGGCAAGCTCTGTATGAATTCTGACACCTGTCAAAAATAACATCAAAATATCCCGCTTAAAACAAAATCAGAATCTAAATGCTCCATGTTCAAAATATTAGCAGAGATGGTTTAGGCATTTCTCTCAGGATAATTTCTTCTCTTTAAGGAAGAAGCACCCCCCCCCCCCCCACGGCTAAACCCTACCTACATTCAATGTGTCTACCACCCCCTTCAATCCAATACTACTGTATCTGGTACTTGACAGGCCAAAAAAAAAAAGAAAAGAAAAAAATGTGTATGTACCTCATCTGTGCTCCATTTGGACACTCTGCTAGCAGGGATTCCAGCGACAGTTGGAAGAAGTTTGCTTTGCTGCTCCCAGCGCAAGGGCAGACACGGAATCGGGGACTTGAAGGACAGAAACACAGCCGACCGACGCTGTGCCTGCTGCATGGTAGATTCCTCCCGGGCACCTGATCAATTGAAGCAAAGGGGAAATCACTCTGTGAGACGCAGCAAAAACGCTCTACATGCCGTGCATTTCTCCCAGAAAATGAGATGCAGAATAGGGCAGGTAAAGCACTGGTTCCTCTCAACATTACACTCACTGAAGGATTACACTCTCCTTTGTCTTCATAGAACTTGTACATTCTACTTACACTCTTGCTACAGTACCTATCGTTAGACACTCTTCATTGTGTGACTCAATGTTAACTTTTGGATGTTTCAAACAGCAAAGAGGTTTAGGGGCAAGGAAAGTTAACTCTCACCTTAGGAAACTGTATCTGTCTTGCGTTCTACTTTGGATGTCCTAAAGGTAACAGCTGCCAATTTGCAGGTTTAAGCACAGCAACTGAGTATCAGGGATAGCTACCATTTGTTCTCTTTTTGTCTCAGCCTTGGTTTGTTCTTCCCAACTTACTAAACATACTGACTTTGTAAGTGGCCAGTAAATGAGATAAATCATTGCAATAAAAATAAAACAGCAGAAAAACAAATGGTTTGTCACTCTTTGAGAAGATAAGAATTAAAACTACAGAATATTCTATTTATGTTCTAGACACAAATCAGGAACACAAACCAGGTTTGCTGCTGCTTCCCTAAGACAGGAATTGCTAGCCACTGCCTAGCCAATGACTTTTGTCTTGAGACTGTTGACTTGGAGCTTGTTGAGGATGATGTCCTTGCAATTCTCCAGAATAAGAAACCTTTTCTGGAAACCACTTAGTGAAGTCCCACAGAAGAAAGGCACCTGCTTTGCATTTACCCACCCTTCACACATGGCTCAGTTACAGGATACTTCAAGTCCACCACAAATCCTCACCGAATGGCTGCCTAGCTTAGGCTTTTGCATCTCTAAGAATAGAGTCAAGTAAGACTTTTTTCTTTCCTCAAAAATAAGATTACAGAAAGGTACACAAATTGTTTTTGAATTTTCATTAAGTGAACATACCCAGGTAACCAACAACTGGATCAAACTACTCTGCTGTAAAAGAAGATAAATGTGGGCCAGGGATTTGGCTCAGTGGTTTTGCCGACTGCTGTGCAATCGCAAAGACCCGAGTTTGATCCTCGGTACCAAAAAAAAAAAAAGAAAGAAAGAAAGAAAGATAAATGTGAATTATATAGGAAAATGCTTCACCTTAAGACCATAATGTTAACTGAAATAAATCAGACACACAGGCTTAAATATCACATGGTTTTTCTCATATAAGAAACCTGAAGTATAAATAAATTAAAGAGCAAAATAAAACAGATAATAGGAATCAGGGAGACAGATCTCTTGCAAATGGGAAAAAGGAACAAGAGATATTGGAAGGGGGGGAGAAGGGACATAAAAGGAATGAAGATGAGTTACGTACATGTACCAGCTCCCTATGATGAACAAGACCATCACGTACTGCAAATGTACGAATAAAAATTAAAATTAAAAAAATAAGAAAACGTGGTCGGCACAACCGTCCAGTCACCCTCTTCCCCTCATCACCATCATTTCTCCTGTTCTGGAACAGTCGTAGTTAAATGCAAGTGTGTGCTGGCTTCCTTTCCCGACAGCATGTGCAGACTCACCTACATCGCTGCCGTTAGCTGTAATTCACTTCCTCTTTGTTGTACGGTTTTTCACGGTTAGAATATTTAACAGTTTGAAACTGATAGGCACCGGAGTTGTTTTTCATTTTTGGTATTACCAACAATGCTGTTGAGAACATTACTGTACGTGCCGTTTTGTGAACATATGGATGCATTTCTGAGGCATAAATACTGAAGGGCAAAGCGTTGAAGTCATAGCATTTGTGTACAGTAAGTTTCAGCAAATCCTGACAGTTTTCTAAAAGTGTTGTATAATGTACACCCACCTACAGCCTAAGAGCTCCACTGCTGCACATCCTCACCAATGCTTTGTACTGTGTTCTTCACTCTAACCATTATGATGGGTGCACAGGGATATACACTGTGTTAACAATTGTATTTTTGTATATTTATTGTATTATTGTAGTTACAATTGGATTTATAATTGCTTCCTAAGTTTATGGCCATACTAAAAAGCTCTCTTATGAGGTACACATTGATGTTTTATGTCCATTATTTTCCATCGGATTGTCTTATCTTTTTCGTATTGATTTATAGGTGTTCCCTAAATATATTCTGGATGGAAGTCCTTTGTTGGAATGCACATTATAGATGTCTCCCCCACTTTGTCTTCCTCTGTACCCTCTTACTAGGGTATTTTGAAACACTGATGTTCTTAACTATGTTTAATTTGTAATTTTTCCTCTTTCATGGCATTTTATATACTTTCTGAAGAAATAACTGCTCACCTCAGGGTCATGAAGCGTGCCCACTCTGCTTTCCTCTGAATACCACATGGCCTCCCTCTCATATTTAGATCCACAATCTATGTGAAATAGGTTTTCTGTATGTTTATGAAGTAAAGATCAATATTAATGCTTTTTCTGCACGGATTTCTAATTGCTTAACCACAATTTCCTTCCCCACTGTAATGTAATACAGGCCTTAATATAAACATAAAGGTGGATTTCTCAGATTTTTTATTTTGTCCCTTGGCCTCTCTACTCCGACTCACAGTTAATTATTAACATTTATTACGTCTGTGATGTCAGTCTTCTTCAAGACTAACATGACTGGCCTTAATCCTTTTCATATATATTTCAAAATCAGGTTGTTAAAAAAAATGCTACAAGTCTGATTAGGTTTCCCACTGCATACATGTAAATTTGGTGAGAAGTGACAGAATTCACAATACCACGTCTTCAATCCATGAACACTGTGTATCCCTCTATTTCTTTGAGTTTTCTTTAATAACTCATTAATGTTTTTTTCAGTTTAACTAAAAATCTTTTTTTTTTGAGATGATCATGTTTTTTTATGCTTCTTTTTTAAAAATTAATTTTATTGGTACATTTTAGGCATACAATATAATGACATTCATCATTGGGAATTTGCACCTTTACATAATCTCTCTTGGTTCTTATTTTTCCCCTTCCCCTGCCCCCCCCTTCAACCCCTCCACCCTTCCCTATCTACAAAGACTTTGTTTCCATTTTCTCATATTAATTCCATTCCCTTCTTTCCTTTCCCTTCCCCCTCCTATTTCCCCTTCCCCTTTGCCCCTTTTCTTTCTATTTCACATTATCCATTATACCTTTCAGTCCTTATTTACACTTTGTTTCTCACACTAGAGAAACTATTCGGTACTTACACATGTGTGTCCTATTTATTTCACTTAAGAGTATTGCCTCAATGTGCATCCATTTAGCTATAAATGTCTCTAATTTCTCGTTTTTTATGGCTGAGTAGTGCTCCATTTTATAAAACCCCATTTTCTTGATTCATTCTCCAGTTGATGGGCATTTGGGTTGTTTCCAAGCTTTGGTTATTACAAATTGTGCTGCTATGAACATGGGTGCACATATTTTGCTGTGATATGATTCTTTTAATTCTTTTGGGAAGATACCCAGCAGGGGAATAGCTGAGTCAAATGGGACTTCCAGTCCTAGTAATTTGAGTTAGCTCCATACTGATTTCCAAAGTGGTTGCACCAGTCTACACTCCCACCAGCAGTGGAGCAGTGTTCCTCTTTCCCCACAGCCCCACCACCATTTGTTATTGGTTGATTTCATGATAGCAGCCATTCTTTCTGGGGTGAGGTGGAATCTCAGTGTTGTTTTCATTTGCATCTCTCGAATGACCAGTGATGTTGAACATTTTTTCATATGTTTATTTGCTATTTCTACTTCTTTGTCTGAGAAATGTCTGTTCATTTCAGATGCTCATTTTTGGATTGGGTCTTTAAATTTGGGAGGTCTGATTTTTTTAAGTTCTTTATAGATTCGAGATAGTAGACCTTTGTCTGAGGAAGAGCAGGTGAAGATTTTTTCCCACATTGTGGGTTGTCTCTTCACACTGCTGGTGGTTTCTCTTGCTGTGCAGAAGCATTTTAGTAAGAACAGATCTCACTTATTGATTCTTTGTGCTAGTTCACGGGCAACTGAGGTTTTGTTCATAAAATCTTTTCCTACACCAATGTCTTCAAGAGTTCTACCTAACCTCTGTTCCAGCCAGTTCAGTGTTTCTGTTTTAATATTTAGATCTTTAATCCATTTAGATTTTAGTTTAGTTGGGCTGGGGATGTAGCTCAGTGGTGTCACTGCCTGCCTTGCAAGCACAAGGTCCCGAGTTCGATCCCCGGTACCAAAAAAAAAAAAAGAATCCCTAGATTTTACTTTAGTGCATGGTGAGAGATACAGGTCTAGCTTTAATCTTTGGCAAGTTGAAACCCAATTTCTCCAGCACCATTTATTACAGAGGCTATCTTTCTTCCAGTGAGTGTGTTTGGCTCCTTTGTTGAAGATGAGGTGGCTGAATGTGTCTGGAGCTGTTTCTGCATCTTCTAATCTGTTCCACTGGTCCTCAGGTCTGTTTCTTAGCCAGTATCATGCTGTTTTTATCACAGTAGCTTTGCAGTATATTAACTAAAAATCTTGCATATCTTTTGTTAAATTTATTCCTATGTGTCTGATGTTCCTTGATATTTTTATAAATGGTACAGTTTTTTCACAATAATTCACTTGCTATTGGTATGTCATTATCTAGTAATTTTTTTTTTAAAAAAACCTAATCTAATATAAAATTAAACCAAACATAAATTTTAAATTGCCCTGAATGTTAGAAAGTAACTATGCAGTGTCAAGCATTTATTTTACTGGAGCTACTACTTACTGATCCTGGCTATTTCCCCACTGGGCTTATACAGAAAAATTGCTGTCACCTCATAGGAAAGACTACAAATCTTCAAACATTTAATTTTTCTAAGTCATGAAGATCTCTCTTTCTACCTTTGATTTAACCATTCTCAAAGTTGCAGATCCTCATCTTATTTTACCTACAGTAATCTATTATGAATTAAATGTCTAAATCAGCATGCTTGGTTTTATTCTTTTAAAATCACCCA